AGAGTCCAAATCTTACACCTCTCATTTTGTTTGATACTATAATATCAAGCATATGTTTAATAACAATTTTTTTTGTGAATTTCGATAAAAGCCTTTAAGGTGCATCACGACTTCTCTCAAACCTTCGAGTTGGAAGCAGAACAAATTTAGGGTGTTTAGCTAAACGCCTATATGCACATCACGATTGCTCTTGATGTCTTTGAGTTGAAATATAGAGTGTGAACAAAAAGAAATCTTGTCATAGTTACAACGTACCATCAAATGTTCCACTTGATTTCTTGTGAAAATAAGAACACCATAATTGGCTCTTTGAAACTCCCTCAATCAGTATGGAATTAAGTAGCACTAGTTAAGCTGGGGCTGTGGCATAGCTGCAGTTTTTTAATTTATTGGATTAGTAATGAGTAATGACAATTATGTAAATTCAATGGTGGTCCTTGATTATAGTTGATAGGGTCGGTAACAACTCTTAATAAAGAAAAAAATGAATGGCTATTGGCTCCTAGATAGTAGCCACATTTAAATGGCTGTTTTTTTTTTCAATAAAAGTCCAAATTCAATTTTTAGTTTTTTTCGTATTTCGCTTTCCCTCTTTTTCTTTTGGTATTATAGTGAACAAGAGAGTTCAGTTGGTATTATGAAAAGAATGACAGTTTCAGCTCAATTTTATCAACACAAATTTTTAAATAAAATACAATCATTACTACACATTTTTTTTAAGTTTAATTTTTATTGATTATTATTTATTTTCTATAAAAAAATGTATTTAATATTACATTATATAGTTGTATGGAAAAAATGAAGAATAAGTAAATTTTCTTGACTGGGACGTATAGTTCCATATCAGATGTCAGAATAATCTCTTGTAAACACTGAACTAAATGCTGACGTGTAAAGTTATCTTGATTATTTTGTCTTATCCCATCACAGAAAGTAAATGGGGCCTTAGTGTCATTCCAGTTTTGCAACACTTTAGCTCTAGAATATGGGGAGGCTAGAGATTACAGTTTATAATAACCAGCTATAGTATTTTATTTTAGTACTGAGCTAAAGTTCTACAAAGATACTTAGAAGAACAGTAATTTCGGTAATGCTACATATTTATGCTATTGTAATATAGTTTAAAATTAAATAATACAATCATCAGATATTTGATTATAGGGACATTTGCAAGAATATCATTTTCCTCTTAAATGTTTACAATAATGCTTATTTTGGTTGATATAATTTTAATTATCATATTTACATATATTTTTAGTGTAAATAATCTTTTTTGTTTTTGGAGTCTTGTATAATTAGCCCAAACCTCTGGACTACTTCCAAATTATCCTGAAAATGTTTTTTTAACTGATGATTTAAAAGCGAGAGGCGTCGTCTACTAGTTCACTGATGAAAGCTCAGCCTCTGCATTTAATGGAAGTTCGTACTAAAGAGCAATTCCAACTACCATCACCAAATCACAATGAGCATCATCATATTTATTTTCCACTCGCGTCATGTATTTTCGGTACATTTATTAAAAAAACCCCCCATTTTTTTCGTCAGGCCACCACTTTCTTCTTCACCAACATAGCTCCACTTTTGTCTGCCAGAGCGCAAGATTGGATTTTTCTGCTTGGTTCAGGTCTGAAATTTCCTTTTTCGTTTTTGGGTTTTCTTTTTTCCTTTCCATACTCTGGATACATTCTTCTTTGTCATTTGTTTTGCGTTTTATCCATTTCCTTTGGTTGATTTTGCTACCTCGTTCGAAATTCTATGTTTTTGCATGTAATACAGTTTTAGTTGTCAAAACTGACAGTGACAGAGGAGTGAAGACCATTTTTTTCCCTTCACTGTTCTTTGATGTCATCAAGCTCTCGTTTTGACATACAATCAAACAGTTTGACTTGAAAACTTCAACGCCAAATAATTTATGCTGGGCTCTTTCTGCGTTGGCCCTCTCTGTTTCACTTCCATTTCCCAGGCTAAATAATGAAAGAGCACTTTATTAAAATTATAATATATTCCCGTACGCATTTAAGGTGGTGGGTCAGTCTTGACTCTGTAATTTGGTTTCTAGCTCAACGGATTCTTGAAACTGCTGGATGGTTAACTTGTAAAGCAATGAGATTCTCTAGCTATAATAGACTTATGCAAAATTTCATTATGCTGAAGCACTCTTCTTTTTTCTTTTCTTTTTTGAGGTGATTCTGCAGAAAATGGAGAGTTTTGCTGTTAAGGTAGAAGAAGGAAAGCAAGGTCAAGCCGGGCAGCCGTCAGTTGGTCCCGTTTATCGTAATCTACTGGCAGAACATGTTTATCCGCCCGTCGATCCTAATTTATCCACTTGTTGGGATATTTTCAGGTTATAGCTAGTATATCTAATGGTGATAAAATTTGACAAGCAAAGTTTTGATCTTCAAATTATACACCATTAAGTCATTCCTTTGTTTCTGCATTAGTTTATGATCATGTGGTTTGGTATTGTATGTCGGTTTTCTGTAACACGACAATCTTTATTTTATTTTTTTTCAGAGAATCAGTAGAAAAACATTCTGGGAACAGGATGCTCGGATGGCGTGAGTTGGCTGATGGAAAGGTATGAAGTAAAAGATTTGTTTAATCCTTCCTTTTATTGTTATCTTATTTTCTGGATATTTGGTATTTTTGCATGTCACTGCCGCTAAATTTTAAATTTCTGTTTAGAATTTTTTTCTTCCTCTTGATTAATTTACCTTTTTTTAGTGGGGGCCTTATGTTTGGAAAACTTACAAAGAAGTATATGAAGAGACTCTACAAGCTGGTTCCGCCTTGCGAAAACATGGTTTCGAACCAGTAAGAAATGAATAGACGCCATTCTGTATATTGTATTAGTACTGCTGATTGTTCATATTTGATAGATCATATTATAGGGTGCTCGAGTTGGAGTTTATGGATCAAATTGTCCTCAGTGGATTGTTGCAATGGAGGTCAGTTCAGAGGGTTTAAAATCTGAGTTTCTTTAGTTTTGTTGTCCTCTCCTTTTCTTTTCCTTCTCTTTTCTTCCTCTTTTGGTCCTTGGAAAAGAAAAAATGAATATCCTTATCGCCTTAACGTTTTAGTACTGGAAGCATATACATCAATTTTTTTAATTAAAAAGATCGATTTATTTATCTATCTTATTTCAGGCCTGCAACGCCCACAGCTTTATTTGTGTTCCTCTGTATGATACCCTTGGTAAACATCATTCCTTATCAAGATTTAACTATTATATTCTTTACATATTATTTATAAATTTTGTTGTGGAATAACAGAGTTTGTAAGCTTGCTCCAGTCAGTCCCTTGGATGTTCATTTGCTAATGTTTTTCACTTTATTGATGCATGAATCCAAATAAAATATCAGTCTGACGCTTCTCGGTATAAAATTATAAATGTCAAAATTCTTGTGCATTTATGACCTTTGGGGGACAATAAAAATGTAAACCATGTTTGGCCTAAGTACTAACTTCTTTGTTGGATAAACTTTTCTGTAAATTCTAGAAATAATTTATCGTCACTAATTTTTCCCATCGTTTTTCTTTACTACAGGCCCAGGAGCTGTTGATTACATATTAGATCATGCTGAGGTTGATGTTGTTTTTGTTCAAGATACGAAAGTGAAAGAAGTGAGCATCACAAACTTATTCTGCATTTCTTTATTATTTTAGCAGCTTCAGTTCTCCCTTAGAAATTGTACGGAGTTTCTGACTCCAAAAGAATCCTTATTGCAGCTACTGAATCCTGAATGCACTCATGCTCGAAGGCTGAAGTGTGAGTGTGAATCTGTATAAGTTTTGTTAATTGTTGAAAAAATAGTTTTACGAGTTATCTTTTCGGTATAGTGATTATTTGCTTCACTTCGTTAACGGGCGAACAAAAGGATAAGGCTGCCTCTATTGGCATCACAACGTATTCTTGGAAAGAAATCCTTAATATGGTAAATACTCTTTCACTTTGATGTTTAGCATCAATTTTTTTANATCTTGGTTTTTTGTTTTATTATTAGCATAACTTTTCTGTATCTGCCATTTGTATTAGGGAAGAGAAACTCCATGTGAAATTTCACCTCCAAAACCGTCAGACATAGGTACGATTATGTACACCAGTGGAACAAGTGGTGATCCTAAAGGTGTCATATTGACCCATGAAAACATTTCAACAAACATAAGGGGCGTCGATCTTTTCATGGAGCAATTTGAAGACAAGGTTAGTGTGATTTTTAGAAAGTTTCTGATTAAGCTTTTTAGCAAATTATTGTAACTAATTATCGGGTTCTTGAAATAGATGACTGTGGATGATGTGTACATTTCATTCTTACCCCTTGCTCACATTCTTGATCGTATGATTGAAGAATATTTCTTCCATAAGGGTGCTTCTGTTGGCTACTATCATGGGGTAAGTTATAAGTCCTTTAGATACTTTTTCTTTTCTATTTTATTTATATACAAAAGAAGGATATAATGAGCAAATCATGTCAATCTGATAACTAAAGATTATCGAGTAAGATATAAGACATATAAGGCAAATAAGATCCCATCCAACTGCCAATTTATTATGTCTGATCATCATTTCTTGCTGGCTTATGAAGAATATCAATGAGATTAGAGATGATTTGCTCGAGCTAAAGCCGACATTTTTAGCCGGTGTCCCGCGAGTTTTCGAACGAATCCATGAAGGCATGAGCCATATTTTGCTTCTTAACAATCGCGACATGTGTAGTATTTGACTTGCACCTATTATACGGCTGGCATGTTAAACGGTTACATTCTATCTGTTATCCAGGAGTCCTAAAAGCTGTTGAAGAACTCAACTGGAGGAGGAGAAAAATTTTCGATATGCTGTACAAATAGTACTGGGCTTCTTGGTCTTTGTTAAATATTTTTCATTTACGCTTGAAAAAGGGACAAAATAAAAATAAACCAGAATATGATGCTAATATTGTTACATTCATGTTACAGCAAGCTTTACTGGTTGAACAAAGGTTACAAGCAGAAAGATGCATCACCTCTGGCAGATTTACTTGCTTTTGGGAAGGTTTGCCTTTGCACTTTATCATTGATTTACTGTTCAAATTGATCACATTTTTACTGTAACAATAATAACATCCATTTAGGAGCCCAAAACTGAACCATGAAATTTATTGGAACTGAAAAAACTCCATTATTTTGATGAAATGAATTTACGCCCCTGAACTTGAACTGGCATTCTGTTTTCACGAAAAATCGAAGCAACTAACCAGCTTGATTTCCGATAGATTTTTTTTTTTTTTGGCTAAAAAATATGAGACAGTCTGTTTGCTAACGTTTTGAGTATGTCTTTTATGTAGATCAAGAGCAGATTAGGTGGCAGGCTTCGTCTTATTGTCTCTGGTGGAGCAGCTTTAAGTAGTGAAGTCGAGGAGTTCCTAAGGGTTACTTCCTGTGCTTTTGTAGTACAAGGATACGGTAAACTAACTGTTTGCTTTTTACAAGAGGTGAAAAGAATTGAATTTCATTATTTTGAATATGCCAATTCGTGCAGGGTTGACCGAGAGTTGTGGATTATCGACTATTGGGTTTCCAGACGAGATGTGCATGATCGGGACAGTAGGTTCCCCTTTTGTTTATTCCGAGGTTTGTCTGAAGGAAGTTGAGGATATGGGTTATGATCCTCTGGGGAACCCCCCACGTGGTGAGATATGCCTTCGGGCAAAAACACCATTCGCGGGATACTACAAGAACCCGGAATTGACACAGGAAGTTGTCAAGGATGGATGGTTTCATACAGGTCATCTTCATCTTTTGTAGTACAAGTTAATTCAATTAACAGTGAAATGAAATCGAAATAATTTCAAAATTACTCCTTAGTTATAACAAATTCTTATAATAGGAATGAATATCAAGGGGTCAATTGTAATTTAGGCTGAAACTGAGGATTTTTTTTTTTTTTTTTTTTGTTGTTTCTGTCATTGACACTAACATTAGTCTTTTCTTGTACTCAGGTGATATAGGAGAGATGCTGCCCAATGGAGTTGTGAAAATCATTGACCGAAAAAAGAACCTGATTAAGCTATCACAGGGAGAGTATGTTGCTGTTGAGTATCTGGAAAAAGTTTACACTATTACACCAGTTATAGAAGATGTAAGCATAAACTAAACTATACTTTTCATTATGCAATACTCGAAAGCTGTGAATTTTGTATGTGCTGTTATTTTCCCTTGTTCGCCAACTCTCTAATGGGGTTTCCTCTAGATATGGGTGTATGGAGACAGTTTCAAGTCCATGCTAGTCTCAGTTGTGGTACCGAATGAGGAGAACACCTTAAAATGGGCAAAGCAAAACGGCCTCAAAGGGTCGTTTTTGGATTTATGTTCCCTTGACCAGCTCAAAGATCATATTATACTTGAGCTAAAGTCCACAGCTGAGAGAAATAAGGTAAGTTGTGCCAAAAGATTGAAATCACAAATAAAATAATCCTTGTAACCTCAAGGATAGGCGTGTTATCATAGTATAGATTCTTTTTTGACACAAAAAAAAAAAGTTAGAAATTTTCCTTTTTAGTTACTGAAGCCATCCTTGTAAATTATTTTCTAACACTGATTTCAAGATGTAGACATTTTCAAACAGTGAAATAAAACCTTAGCATGAAATTGCTCTCGGGCTGATTTGTAAATGCCTTCGTATCAGTCTTCTAATGGTCATTCCCCGAGTCCCTTTATTATTATTCTATTTGTTTTTTTTTTATTTCTTATTTTTCCAAAAACTAGCTGAGGGGATTTGAGCACATCAAAGGTGTAATAGTTGAGCCTCAGCTCTTTGAGTTGTCTGAAAAAGAACTAGTGACCGCAACACTGAAAAAGAGAAGAGACAGATTGCTTAAGCAATACAAGGTAATCGATCATAATACAGACCGACTTTAACTGTCTTATGATTCAAGTAATTGTTCGTTAGGCTTCAGGGCCCGTGATAAGATGTAATTTCCTTGGATTTTTCAACCATTATGCAGGTGGAGATTGACTCCCTCTATCAAAAGCTAACCAAAGCAAGGTCATAGTTGATTACAGAAACATGCAGCAGAAGAAATACTTCTTGCAAGGAAAATATATTTATTAATTTGTTGTCCCTATGAAAGGTGGAAAACTATCAACTATGTACAATAATGTCCATTTTGCGAATGGATGTATGTATAATGTGACATTACGTATAAGGGGGTTTTACTTTTTGGCAGTTCAATGCATGGTACAATTTTTTCTGTGTTTGGCAACAACTAAAAAAATGTAAATGAATGAATAAATAAATACATCGTACCTATTGTAGTAGAAAGTAATGATAGGGATGTAGAGGCTAGGCTGTAATAAGCCCACATAGTTAGTTAGGTAAAATTAGGTGGAGAATTTATTTTGCTCACTTAATCTTTACCTACTAATTAAAGGCGTAACTACAGTTTCTATCAAACATACCTAAATTTCAACACCTACTAATTCAACCAATTAGTGGTGTATTAATTTTCCACCAATTAGGAGCTTGTAGAGGACTTTAAGGGTTTACATATATTGATAGATTTTGCATGTATTTTTTTTTTCATAATTTTGAAAAGGCTTCAAGGGGCATATATACGCATTTTAACCCACATATAAGAATCAGTAGAGCTAGAAATTGTCAAAAAGCGAAGAACAGCATCAATTAAACTCAAGATACCAACCATCTCACATGATACCACAACAATTTGCAGCAGTAAACAATAAGTATCAAATTGGACAAACAATACAGTCCAGCCAACAGAATCCCCAAACGGGCCCTAAAAAACGCATCAGAGCCCTTTCTCAAGCATAGCCCGAACTCTCATCGGCAGCCCGTAAAGACGGATAAAACCAGCCGCATCAGCCTGATTGTAAATCTCCCCAGTCTCAAACGACGAAATATCCTCCCTATAAAGGCTATACGGGCTTTCTCGGCCCGTAACACTAACCGACCCCTTATAAAGCTTAAGTGTCACTGACCCAGTGGTGGTCTTGGTGATTTCCTTCATGAAAGCATCCATGGACTCGCGGAGCGGGTCGAACCATCGACCCGCATAAACCAGCTCAGCGTACTTAAGGGCAAGAGAGTCTTTTACCTGCATCGTCTCACGGTCGAGCGTGAGGGACTCGAGCTCACGGGCAGCAGCAAAGAGGATGGTCCCACCGGGAGTCTCGTAGACCCCACGGCTCTTCACGCCCACGAGCCTATTTTCGACCATATCTATTCGCCCCACACCGTGCTTCCCGCCTATTTCGTTCAGCTCTGAGAGGAGGGTTGCGGGAGAAAGTTCTTTCCCGTTGATCGAGACAGGAATGCCTTCAACTATGCCGATTTTTAGGTACCTGCATCAAATTAATCGAGGTATAATGTATACGTAGGTGTATTGCGTGTGGGTATAGGGCTGCAAACGAACCGAGCGACTCGTGAGTCAAAGCTCAGCTCGAGCATAGGTTTTGGAAAGTCGAGCGGCTCGAGATATATAATGAATTACTAAAATATCCCTTATATATGATTATTACAATATTTTATATTTGTAAATAATGATAATTTTTACTTGAAATTCGAGTCGAACTCGAGCCGAGCTCGGGCAATTTGTCGAGCAATTTGATTTCAATCGATCTCGAGCCGTACTCGAGCGATTGTCTTCTTTTGTCGAGTCGATCTCGAGCACGTAAAAATAAAAATCAATCTTAAGGCTAATGCTCGACTCGACTTGTTTGCAGCCCTATGTGGGTATATACTAGATAAGAAGCAACTAACTGGGGTTGGTCGGGTGCCTCTTTTGGGTCCACACTCATCATGTACATGTCCTCCTTCGGCTCATTTGCTGGGTCCTCCAAGATATCACCCTTTGGTCCCGCATACCAACAAAAGGTTATTAACATATGCAGATAAGAACTTTGATGGGGGAAATAAAAACTATGTGCCAGTCAAATTCACAAGCAGAAATAAATTGACTCTTCAGTTAGCCCAAATCCCACATTTGTTCCACAAATATCTCTCTCCACAATGATGTAGAAGATGAAAAGTACAAAACTCAAAGCTTCTTGAAACAGATTACCAGTAACAATAGAGATCTATTCATAACAGAGAGAATTAGAACCCAAAAATAATAATATCAAATACATAAATATATAAATAAAATTAATAAATTTTAACTTAAGAGCCACAAGAATAAAAAAAGGTCACGAGAGTACCTCATGACTGAGATGCCACAGATTCCTATCTCGGCTATAAATGGATTTCTTGGTGACAGGAACAGGCACATTATGCTTTTTAGCATACTCAATGGCATCTTCTCTTCCAGTTATTTCCCATTCCCTCCAAGGAGCAACCACGCTGAGATCTGGATTTAGAGCAAAGAATGTGAGCTCAAACCGGACCTGCGATCAAGAATCAGCCTCGTGACTGTTATGCAAAAAAATATTACAACAACAACAACATAGCCTTTTAGTACCAAGCAAGTTGGGGTAGGCTAGAGATGAAACCCAAGAGAACCAATGGTAAGAGAAACACAAAAAGGGCTCAAAACAAAATGAAGAGATTGGAGCAAAAGAGAAAGGAGCAAAAGTCACGGTTCTGGCACGTTGATTGCTAGCCTCCAAGCGCTCCTATCCACCGCTAAATCCTTGGAGATATTCCAAAAAAATGTTAAAAGTAAGGAAAAGCTTAATAGAGAATCGGGGAGCATACTTGATCATTTCCTTTCCCGGTGCAACCATGTGAAACTGCATCAGCTCCAACCTCTTTGGCAACATCAACCATAGCCTGAACGTTTGAAATTTGAATGCATACACATTTACTCAAATTAAACAGACACAGACACAGATAGTAAACAGAGATTCTAGGGTGTGATTGGATATGGATTTGATTGGTTTTTTATTGGTGTTTTGTTAACCATAGTTAATTTTAAAAAATGTGGTGCGGTTAGTTGTTAGTGGGAGTTTAAGATTATATTAAAATAATATTTAATAAAAAATAATTAAAGTTGATTTGATGTAAAAATAGGAAAGAATAGTGAAATTATGTGAGTGGATGAATAGTGAAATAAAGATGATGTGATGTGTAAGGATGATTACAACAACAACATAGCCTTTGAATTTATTGCTATGTGTAAGAGCATCTCCAATGCTATAAGTGTGAAAGACCATTATTTTTAACACATGTCAATTAGTGATTGTAATGTTAATCCACATTGGAATAATGTTAAAAGACTAAAAATTTCAATGAAACTAGTATCTCCAATGCATCAATTTGATAAGAAGTTATTTGTATAGGTGGACCAATTAAATAATTTATTGATACAAAAAAAATAAAAAATTAAAACAAATATAAAGTAAATTGATGAGTCATCATGTTTAACATGGTGTTAGATATTAGAAAGTGTCCTCAACATTGTCTAACATTAGATGACATCCACCTCATCATCAAAGAGTTCATGACAAGATGCATTGGAGAAAAAAATAGAGATATACTTTCAAAAGTTGATGATATGAATGACTTTTTATAATGTCAAAAGTTGCATTGGAGATGCTCTAAGGATGATTGATTAATATTATTTAATTTTATGGATAAAATTGAAGATAATAGGGTTAAGTTAAAGTTGAATTAAATTTGAGTTTTGATTTATTTATTTATTTTTTGAATTTATATCCAATCACACCCCTAGTCTTTTCTTTACGCTCTGTGTGTGTGTGGAGAGAGAGAGAGAGAGAGAGAGAATATAATCCAAGTATTCCCTTATTTAATCTTGAACATGTACCTTTGCAATCACTGGACGAGCCATTGAAGTCCCAAGCAAGTACTTTCTCTCATAGATGGCACCAGCTCGTAAGCAAGGAAAGATAAAATCTTTCACAAACTCCTCTTTCAAATCCTTTACAACTAGTTGGCATGCCCCACTAGCCTTGGCCTTTTGTTCCAAACCTTCCAATTCTTGCAAGCCCTAACGTTTGTAGGATTTTATCAAACACAATGCATTAGTTTACTATTGAGATATAAACCATACTTCCCCTTCCCTTTGTTTCTTCCAAATACATTTTCAATGCCAACTCAGTTACTTACATCCAAGCATAAAATTTACACTACTTTAACAGCAAAATGCAAAATATCTACTTATTATGAATGTATGCAATTTCATGGATTTGTTTAGCACGTACTTGACCAACATCGGCAGTGAAGCAAACAACCTCACAACCATAGTTCTCCCTGCATTGCACAATACAGAGGAAAAAAAATAAATTAAAATGCTCTAAATAAAAAGAGTACACACAGGCCATCAAAAGCTTATCTACTTTCAGGAAACATATCCAATAGAAGAAAGAAGGCACTATAGCACACTTTGAAGATACATAGCTAAAAAGATACAGCCAGTAAAATCTGTATATAATGGAGAAAGTGAAACAGAGAAACTACGTATAAAAGAAACAATAGTAAAACTAGCTAGCATACCTGAGCCAAGGAACAATTACGGATGTATCTAAACCACCACTGTAGGCCAGGACCACTTTGTCCAACTTTTTACGCAAAACTTTTTCATCCACACCATTGGAAGTTGATGCCTCCTTATCACTAGCTAAAACTGCTCGGATAGCTGCATGAAAAATAATCGGAGATCATAATCTTAACATTACATACATGCAATGTCTATCAAAGTTTATTTACATACATTCAATCAAAAGAATCTCTAACACTCAAATATTAATTGCTGCCGCCAGCTAATAACAACTACAATCATGTATGGGCACACACACACACACAGACTCCATAGACATGCCACAAATACTGCTGGAAATGTACTGAATTCTCTAGAAATGAACTTTCATGAGCTAACTAGAAATGGACTTTCATGAGCTAAAAACCGAAACATGAAATGTGAATGAGCAGAGCAGCACACATGAGCTGGCCCTAACAAACAATGAAGCTGATACCATGATTGCCACGTTTGACACCAAAGTTGGCCGCTTTTTGGATGACAGCAGGACCATGAAATTCACTGGCCTTCACCCCTAGCTGAGTTAATTAAACAAGATTAATAAACATGATAAAAAATAGCACCCATCAAGCATCAAGCTCACAAAGGGGGCAAGTAGTATAGGCATACAATCAAATACCTCTTGTTGTGGAGCTACTTTTCTGGGGCACAGAAATTTGTGGCCAATACCAGCTGAATCTACATTCGAAAAGTTCCGACATTTAAAATCGCTTGTAAGAAAAAAAAAACTGATTTCTATACACTGCAGCTATACAAACTCATCATATTACCTTTTTTAGAGCCATGGAAAAGACGATTGGAGGACGAACACGAAGAGATCGCTTGTAACTGAGCCATCCCTTATGAAGTTCGTTCCCAGAAATTTTACAAAATCGTAGTAAGTTCAAATACTAAATAGCCATGAAACAGACACATTCTACACATATTACATCATGAAAAAAGATACGATTCATTAATTCACGCCATTCGCAATTAACACTCATCAGTAACAACAGAGACCGAAAACTATTTAGAACTCAAAGAAAATAACGAAACAAATACCAAAAGAAAATTGGAAACGAACAATAAAGAAGAAACAAAGACAAAAACTATAGGGGAAAAACAAAATTTTGAGACAAATAAGGGAACGAGACAGCGAAAACCATCGAGTAGGAAGAACAATGAGGTACGAGAAAGCAAAATAGTGACCGGAATCAGAAATGAGTAACAGCTTAGCCACGCATGAAACTGGTCGACAAGTACTAAAATTAATCGAGATTGCAAGGTGTGGATGAAATACTGGCGAGAGGAATCGGCGGCGGCGGGTGCTGAAGACAAGCGGCGGTAGCTAGCTGGTGTGAGGCTTTTGAGCGGACTCCTGAGCTCTCTATTTGAGTGTAAAATCCTCCAAAAGGGTAAAAACGTGTGCAATTGGATGTATTTCATTTTAGATCATTTTGTTTTAATATAAAGTAATGTAATATAAAAAAAATCTAATTAATTATAATTTAAAAAGAAAATAATAAAATAATAATGTGTAATATGAAGTAGTGATAATTTTTAATTCAAATAAAACATGTATAGAAAATCATAACTTTGGTGCAAAATTAAATGATTTTAAAAATGATACTCCCTCCTATTTTAAATATTTGTCATCCTGGTTATCAACACACTAATTAAAAAATATTTTTCTTTCTAAATTTAATCCTATTTAATGACACAATTGTGGATGGATGTTCTTGGGAATATGGAGAGACAATGGGTATTAATGGAGGGGTTAAAAGGGAAAAATATGAACAAAATGACCAAAACGACATTTATTTAACAAATGATCAATTAAGCTAGAATGACAAATACTAAAAATAGGAGGGAGTATGATTTTTGACTTATTCCATGTAACCCTTTAGATTCACTCTATCTCCGTCCAGAAAGAACGAGCCGAAGCCGCCGCTCAAGCAAGCATTTAAAATGTGTTAATTTATATTGCAATTTTCTTTTAAGAAAATTAAAAATTCATACTGCCAACTTCTATACTTAATGCTTATTTTTATATATGCACATACATATATTTAAACTTCATATAGAATCTAATATTTTCATGTTACTAAATTTAAACTTTATTAAATAATTAGTATAATTAAATGAGAAATGTTATAAGATATATAATATTGTACATAAAGGTATATTTACCATTTGTGATGATTCACATATATAAAATTACAAACTGAAACATAAGACAATTGCATTACAGAACTACACAATCCAGGTAGAATTTAGATGTGCACAGAGCAAAAAACTTGCCCTAATGGTTCAACCTCTTAACACAAAAAATGAAGAGATAAACCAAATAAAGAAAATTTCCCCCCCAAATCGAGCTGCTCGAACGCTTTCCCTGTACTTGTGCAGACTGCATTCACAGAGTCGAGCATTCAACGGTTATTCACATGAAATTTGCTCCGTTTTCTTGTAGAACCGAACAGGTGTCAAGTCCCTCTCGACTCTCGTGCTGGCCTCACATTCGAACTAGTTCTGCCACCAATCCCTGCACGAAACAAACATTATTGATACTTTGTTATGAAATTCAAGTATCAACAAAAACAGCTTATTAAAGTTCCAACAGATTTCAGTCTTACCATCACAGCAATTTGGTTCTCTCCAGATAACAAACCACAAGAACACTTATCCAAATCAAATAAATGTTCGAAATGCACACGAGACCTTACTCGTTTCATCTTGTGAAAAAACTTGAGTTACTAATTTAATTTCCGTTGCAAATAATGATTTGCAGGTGTGGATTTTTAACATAAATATATACCTTGGAAGATTAGCAGTAGAAAAAACAAAATCGTGATGACCATGGCCGAAATAGTGCTGCAAGATGACGATGACGAGGATGATGATGACAGTGGCAATCGAGCCGCTTTCATCTTCTTCAAAGCCTTTATTCGTTCGAATCTCTCCCTTTTCTTCATAGCAATCTTGGATATTTCTTTTATCAGCCGAATGTCAGCAGCGTTCAAAGACGGGGTCCCGGGTGCGCGAGGGGGCTTTGGAGCTTTCTTAATTTTCCCGCCCTTTTTGTTCTCTATCTCGACTTTCGGTGCAGGCCCTTGGATCGGCTCCTTCGGATATTCCACCTCAGATCCACAAATGACATTGGGCTTTGTTGTGGGCCCAACAAGTCCATTGAATCCCAATACTCCACCAAAGAGTTTGTTCAATGTTTTCTTCTTCCCCCATTTGCTGCCTGAATTCGACTCGGTTTTCGTGTGAGATTCATTTCGTGCTTCGCCACTCTCGATATCCACCTTAACTTCCATTTTCCATGTGATTTTATAAATTCAGCTTCCTTGGCTTTGCCCTCGATTACGATTATTGGAGTCTGTAATTTTTCAAAATAACAATAAATAAATAAATAAAACCCAAAAGCCTAGTTCTCAAATCAAAGTGCATCATCAACAATCGGCAGAAACTGGTAGTCTGGTTACAACTTTTCATTCACATCAAGATTACATTTTTCTTTTTCTATATTTTCACCCACCACAGAAGCAGGGTTTTCTGTTTCAAGAATCATCAGCAAAATTATCCTGAAAAATTGAAATATGAAAACATTTAAAAGCTACAGATAAAGGGAGTGCCTTTAATGAGACCAGAATCCAAATTATTTCCTTCATTATAGCAGCAGAGACGGAACAGGATCCATTTTTTAACCAATGAACCAAATATCAATGCAGCTAGAAATCAGAATCCCAACAAGGTACAATGACAATACCGGAAAAAAAAAATCAGACAGATCAAAACATGAGAGAGGAGAATGTTCGTACCGATTGTGGTAACAAATTAGCAGAGGGCTTAAAATTGCAGAAAAAAGGAACAAAAATGGTACAAAATCAAGATGGAAACTGAAGGTTTTTGTGAAGATTGGAGGATGATATACACACCTCCTTACCTCCCATAACTCTTTCGATACAGCACGGGCAAGGAGAAGGTAAATATTAAATAGGGATGGGTGGATGACGTCACGATTCATACAGGAGGCAACAACCAGACAAATCGTCGGGTAACCCAACATAGCCGGGCCGGGTTTGTACGATGTTGTTCTTTCCACATTTTTCAATTTTTAATAATACAGTGTTTATGCTACGTGGGAGCCATTCACAAATTACATTGACTTGGCTAAATTGATTCNTGATTCTTTCTTTAACTAATTATGACCGCGGTCGCGACGCGACAAATTTAAATTTATAGAGCATGTTTGTTTATAGAAAGTTTTGGTTTTGTTTGAATTTTTTAGTTTGGTTTGGTTAATTTTGAAAAAAGTGGTATGGTTAGTTGTTAATGGGTATATTAAAATAATATTTAAAATAAAATAATTAAAATTGATTTGATGTAAAAGTATGAGAGAGATTAGTGAAGTGATGATTAGTTAAAATAATATGAGTGGATGAATAGTGAATTAAGGTTGATGTGGTGTGTATGAATGATTGATTGATATTATTTAATATATTAATAATATTGATGATAGTGAGGTTGAGTTAAAGTTGAGTTAAAAAAAATGGTTGAGTTAAAATGTTGAAACTTTTTTAAAAAAATTTTATAAACAAACATGCTCATAAAGTTTCTTCGACTAACCTCTACTAGCTAGTAGTAGTGGCGAGTAAAGGTCGATCCTACGAGGAGTAAGAATTAAATGGTGATAATTTCGTATTAATTGAACTAAACTAAGAAAGCAAATAAATATGGGGAGACTGATTTTATAAAAATAAAAATAAAAATAATAAAATAAAATAAGAGATCAAATAAAATAAGAGAAGTCTAATTTTTGGTTCAGTTATCACCGAATCTAAATCTACCGTTAATTAATTTCGACGCCTTCTTTAAATTGCTAACGAATTATCGACCCTAGCTAACAACAAGCTCTGTTAACCGAACTTTTCCTTACCGAATATTTAATCGAAATAAGCTCTTCGGCTAAACCTAACTAATGGACAACTTAGAATAAGCTCTCTAGATTTAGTGCACTAGCAGCATTAATGTCTAGGAAAATAGATCAGTCTAAGCAACGGACACAAAAGCTCGGACCATTTAGCTTATGTTCACGCTACCCTAGAGATGCACGACCCCTAGTTTACTACTAACGAAACGAGACAATAACAATTATGGATTAAAGTCCTGAATCTAGCAATTAAACTATGAACATTCAACGTAGTTGACCAAACTAAATCAAATACTCATAATTCATAAACATTAAACATAGATAACATGAATCAACTCATTAACAAAATAAATACGGCGTTTAGATTAATCAACAGTAAACAAAGATTATTCAATTCATAGACAAATCGAAATTAGGATTCATACATCTCCTAAAACTGGATAAAAATACTAACCTAACATACTAATAAAAATAAATAATAGATAAAAGAGAGAATAAAAAACTCCCTCGTGTGCGGGTGCGGCTTCCCTCCGCGTGTGTAGGCTTCTTTCCTTTTCTCTCTGTCTGTGTGTGGCGTTTTTCTTTGTTCTGAGTGCTCTCGGCTTTTTCTTCTTTCGCGTCAATAAATCCTTAGCTTCGTAAAAAAAAACAATGTGACTTGCCAAATATATTCCCAGCATAAATAATTCTTGGTTGATAGTTCTTGTCACATTAGGACTCATTTCTCACAAAATTCCACCAGGTTAGGTTGCGTATTGCATTTCTAATGGCCAAAATCACTCAATTACCATTATTGGCCCAATTTGTACATACTTCTTCTCTTCTAAGCTCAATTCATAAATTCTTTGACTAAATTAATTCGCTTGGACTCATTTAGTCGGCTGAAACTTTTGTCAACGGCTTTCTGATTCCCAAAATCCTCTAACATGCTAAAAATAAAATATAAAATATCAAAGAAAATAAATCCATCCAAATAATAAATAAGTCGAAAAATATAAACGTGCGAATAACTTAAGCATATAAAAATACACTATTAAATAAATAAAACGCGCACATTTTTCCACGTATCAAAATGCTTATCCCTTTCATCTTCTTCAAGATTCATTTCCGTGATTAATTGCATGATGACTTCTAATCTAGCCTATGGATAAGAGAATATTAAAATAGAAATGGTTTGTTAGAATCAAGTATCTATAAACAATCATTTTTATGAGTTTGGTGCAGCTAAAAATATAAGCGAACTGAGTTCAAATTTTGAATACTCGAGTTTTTGGTTCCAGCCGAGCTCATTAGCAAAATAACCAAATCGGATTCAACTTGTTTAAAAATAGAACTCGAGGTGTAATGAGTATGTAAAAGATATTATATAAATATTTTTATTTTTGACTCCAGACAAATCGAGTTTAATTCCTTAACTCAACAAGAGGGCTCGAATTTTAACGAAACAACTATCTAGTTGCAACACTTATACCTTCCTTGGTGAATTGTGAAATCAAGATATGACCAAGTTCTACATATGTTCAAAGGTTACATTTTTTGACAAAAATTGGATCTTGATAGAAGAAAACGCATATAATTAGTGTCAATCAACTAATGTAATAACGAATAAGGAAAATGCTTAAATAAACTTGGTAAATTGTAAATTAATCCGTTCAAACTTCGAACAATTTTATTTAACTCGATCATTAGTACAAACACCTGGTCTGCAAATATGATAAAACCCACGCCACGGGTTTTGCGATAACATCTTCCGTCCGCCGCCGATGGAAGAATCCACGTCGTTCCCGCCCATCAAGCCCTCCAGTTTCGATCTCATCGTGGTCGGCACCGGCCTTCCACAGTCCATATTCGCATCCGCCGCGTCCGCCGCCGGAAAAAGGGTTCTTCACCTCGATCCTAACCCCTTTTACGGCAGCCACTCGGCTTCCCTCCCCCTCGACGACCTCGTCTCCTTCCTTAAAACCCACTCTGAATCGCAAACCCAATCCCGGTCAGAAGCCCAACCCCTACTTCAAATCTCCTCCGGCGATGGTAATGGTGTTTCTATCCCTCTATTGACCCGACCACTGTATTCCAGTGTGGAGATCAACTCCTACTCCTCCGACCTCATCGAAGCTTCCAGAAGATTTAACCTTGACTTGGCGGGTCCTCGGGTTTTCCTCTGCTCCGACTCCATGATTGATTTGATCCTCAGGACGGACATTAACCAGTACATGGAGTTCAAGGCCATGGGGCCTGCTTCTTGAGCGACGCTGAGGGTAAATTGGAGAATGTGCCAGACTCCCGCAGCGCCATCTTTAAAAATCGCACCTTGTCCCTGCCTGAGAAAAACCAGTTGATGAAGTTCTTCAAGCTTGTGCAGGGGAATTTTGGGAATGATAGTGAGGGAGATAAGATTTCTGAAGAGGATTTGCAGAGTCCCTTTGTCGATTTCTTGACGAAAATGGGGCTATCGGAGAAGCTAAAATCGTACAGATCGATTCATCTCCTTTTGTCTCTCCTTCTCTGTTAGTTGGAGTTTCACATGCATTCAATATTTCTTTTATGATATATATTTTTCAGTCTGAATTGTTTTGCTTAGCTGATCTTCTGCTGCTGTGTGTTTTTTGTATGATTTGTTAAGATGAACCATTGTGTTTTTTGGTATGTTCGATTCATTGACTTGTTCTGCTTGCAAGTATTGCAATGTATGGTTTTTATAGGTAGACTTGCTGTTGTTTTTCCCTTACCGTACTCCATTTACATCCAAAGAAACTAGCAAAAATGGATGACATTGTTTAATTATTCATTCTCTTTTAACATATTTGTCATTTTACTATCAGCGTTATGCCTAAACACATTCGAAAACGGGTTCCTACATTTGCATGTGGTTATATACTTATATTACTTGTTGGCCTTTTAGGTTGTAATCTTTCTAAAATGCATAATCTTTATCTTCCAGGATAATATTATACACAATAGTGATGGCTGATCATGATCAGACAAACGTGGAAGTTTGTAGAGATGTTATGGACACTAAAAGTGGAATTAATGGATTGTCACTTTACCACTCGTCCATTGGCAGGTCAGTTTTCACCTTTGTGTTCAACTAGTAGCTATTTAGTACTGTGAAAGAACCATTATCTATCCAAAATCGCTGGAAAACATTCTGGGGAAATGGAATTTATTGATAGCTGATATCAGCATCACATACCTCCAGTCATATGTGTTTCTACAACCAGAAGAATCTGAAAATTAGTAGGCTTATGGCCAAATGTGATAATTTCAAGAGTTTTAATCAGCTAAACAGTTGACACCAAGAAGGGTATTAACTAGAAAGATTTGCTCTAACATTTATAGGTTTCCAAATGCAAATGGTGCTATAATATACCCCATTTATGGTCAAGGGGAACTCCCTCAAGCCTTTTGCCGCCGTGATGCTGTGAAGGGGTGCATTTATGTAAGTACCATTACATATTCTTGGATTCTTAAATGACTTTGCCCATCTGCATACATGTATTCTTTTCATTTTTAAGCATTACTAATTTACTATTTAGATTATTGCTAACTGGTAGTGTTTGGACTAGTATTAGTGAATAATTTCACTTCACATGTTTCATTGTCTTTTTGTGATGATTTTATGTACTGGAGGTTGAATAACCCATGCGTCATGTTCCATGTTGCAAATTATATTGTTTAAAACTCAAAATGTCTTAATAATTAGTATCATACTTTGGACATGGATCACTATATTGACTCGGAATTTTGTTGAATTTAGAATACTTGGAGTAGTGACTTGGTTGTATGCATACATATATCCTTAAATGGATATTTACGTATGTAGTTGTCCATATATGTTGACATTTGTCTTCTAAGTTTTTGCTTAAAGTTTTGTGAATTGAGTTACGAAGTTGAGCTCTTTTGTTAAGTTTTCCCAACATGTCCAGTAATATCACTTTCCCAATTTTGATGGGGGGCGACTGTGAACATCGAGCTGAATGTTAAATTTAACAGAATATGGAAATAATTATTATGTTCAATGAATTAACGAACAATTTTATTATTGCTGTGGTTTTTAAACTACCATTAACAGGTCCTTTTTTGGCCAAAAAAATCTTGATCTCGACTCTGAAGGTGATGAATGTGGAAACGTTTCATTCAATAGATAGTTTAGTTGTTTTATTTTTATTTCAATTTCCTTCTTACCATTCCATGTTCGCCAGTGATTGATGTTACGAGCTGTATTTTCATTTTCTTTTTCCTCTCTGCTACGTTATAATCTCCTCCTTATTATTGATAAATGTTATCACTATGATGACAGGTTTTGCTAATGCCGGTAGCTTCTGTGCTCATGGATAAGGTCTGAATGTTTTTTGTTCATTGTTTCTATGTGTGAGTTGGCTGCAAAGCGCACTATTTGCCTTCACAACGAGTGATTGACCGATTGATCTATGGCATGCCATCATCAGTTATTATCTTTGTGCACATATTACATTTTTCTTCTGCCTGATATCAAAACATTTTTGTCATTTTTCGTACATTCGTGTCTTTTTAGGATGGTGATACATATAACGGTGTAAAATTAGGTTCCGGTCAGGAGTTATTCAGCTCTCAACTGATTCTTGAACCGCATTTCACAATCCCATCAACTTTAACCCCTACTGGACAAGTGTCAGCTTCTCACGATGCTAATCTCTCTGATACCAAAGAGAAAGTTGCCCGGGGAATATGCATTACCAAGAATTCAGTAGATCCAGGAGTTGCTAATTGCTTAGTGTTCTTCCCTCCCAGATGTAAGCGTATCTGATTTTCTTCTCATGCCGAAACTTCTGCAAACATTCTCTCTCTCTCTCTCTCTCTCCTTCCTTTCTAATTTTTCTTTCACGGCAGCTTTGTATCCAGAACAAGTTACGACTGTCCGTATACTCCAGTTAAGTTGCAATGTGGCTGTTTGCCCATCAGGGATGTAAGTTTCATGCCACATGCACCTTTATCCATCACTAGGAATTTAAGTCATTAACTTTCCTTTCACTTTTTGAAAACGAGCCATCATATAATCTAAACGTGAAATTTGGCTCGTTTAGAGTTACTTTATTCCACATGTCAATGTTTTTGTAATTCTTTTGTCGATCAATATCGTTTGACATGCGTTCAATTACGTGCTTTATTATCAGGTTTGTGACTTATCTGTCAGCAAAGTGTGGTAATGCTGTAGAAGGGAAGAAATTACCGAACGAAGCCATAAATGCACTGTTCTGTGTGTCTGTATCAATGAACTCTGAGAACAGTGAGAAGGAAAATTTACATGAGCATACAGTAGGAAAACCATGTTTGCTTTGGAGCGTTCTGTATATACAAGAGCTAACTAAGGTTTTCTTTATAGCTTCATTTTTTTTTTATTATTATTATTATTATTAATTTTTTTTCTTTTTTTGTTCTGATTAGAAACAGAAAATTTTATTGAAAAAACGAAAACAGTACAGTATTGAGGAGATGACAAACCTCTCCAGCAAACTGGGGAAAATTTTCATTCATTGTTTGGAATGAATATTCTGTCTGCTTTCGTTGGGCCTTATAATGCAATGGATTCTAAAATATTTCCCCAATCAAAATTGTTTATATCGACTTTTAACCGTATTCATGATAAATTTGTTTTTATTACTTTCAGTTTCGAGGTGCTTTTCACTCCATCACCTACACGCCCATGCCAGACGAACATCTACACTATAATAATCTCCTAGATGAAACTAAAAAGGTAAACAGTCTCCCATGATTCTGTAGTTATTCTTCTTACACTGGTCACTAAACCTCTCCATATTGTTGTCCATACACGAAAATTTTTTTTGTGCTTTAGATATTTTTCACTAGCTGCTTATCGGATCTTTTTTTTTCTCTCCCTTTTTTGTTCAGCTATTTCAAGAAATATATCCCAAATGAAGATTTTTTCCCAAGGATTGACCCAACTGATGATGATATTTGTGCTGATGGTGGCTCATAGAGAAATAAGAACTGCTCTTTTTAACTATGTTGATGGGATTATAGCCCATATTTAGATTGGTTGTTTTGTATTCATGCATTTTTTTTTTTTTTTATAATGTGAGCAACAAGCTCAAGCAATGTGACACTGCCAGTGTCAGGTTTAACTTATTAAGGCTACATTTGAACAGGCAACAGTCATACTTTTTAAATAGATATGCGTATTCAAATTGAAATGTAATACTGTATGAAACAATATATAAACAAAATTATGATATTTCACTACATAGTTATGCATTTCTATTACAAATATGTGATGGGCTGTTTCACACTGAGGTGATCAAGGACCACCATAACTAAATCATGATTTAGTTATGGTGGTATTTAGTTACGGTGGTCCTTTACAACTTGTACGATACTAATATACTATCTTCTGTCAATTAACTTGACATGTCTTTAACATCAAAACGTGTCATTAATTGAATTGAATATGGTAGCTTCACTTCATAATGATCTTAACAAAAATGCCAATTATGATTCCCTTAAAATTGCCCATGTACTGGAAAATAGAAATAAATGTTATGAAAGGGAAAGTTTACGAAGCCCAAAAGTAGCTGAGAGTTTTTAATGCCAAGGATGGGACTTGCCGACTTGCCGTGTTTCTCCAAGTCTTGATATTATTACAAAAACCCCCCCCCATTTTTCGAATTTGAGTAATATAACAAACAGGTTCACGTGGCAGCACTCGAGCATTGTATGAATTGATTTGGTGTCGTTTTGTGCTGGCATGATCTTGTATCCCAAGTTTCCACGTTGACCAATATTATAAATTCATTGAACCTCACACATTAATAATACACTTCTCACAGTTTGGTGGGTCAATTGTCAGACTCAATCTAGTTTTTGCGCCATCCCAAAAAGTTCCCATACTACCTGAAGACAGCCAAATAACATCACACAAGGGCTAAAAACTTCTGATTAATTATTTTGATAATGTGTTCAAGAATATGAATAAATGAGAAAAAAAAAATAGAGATTATTATTATTATTTTTTCTGTTTTGGAAGTTTTTACTTTGTCTCCGACAAACCACCTTCTTCTATAAAAAGAAATTCGAACTGCCTCCCAAAATTGAGGTTTGGCCGTTTAAATCCGATTTTGAAATTGTAAAAATCTGATTTTGGGAGGCAATTTATCGACTTGCAAAGTCGTAGGTAGCGAAATTCCTTGTTGGGTAAGTTCCGACGAAAGGTGTAATGATCATTCGAATACTTAGTGAGGCATTACAACCAATCTTAACAAAGATGAAAAGAAAACACTATATTGTAAGTTTAGTGAGAACAAAAATACAAACTTATAGAACTCCCACTATTAGGGTTTCTCAGTTCTCACATGAGAAGCCGCTCAGCATTCCTAGACTAAGGAATTAACTAACTAATTAACATTATCTAGGACAGATCAACATTTAGTTTTCTTCCAAAAGAACTTGTATTAATAATCTCATGATCATCAGTCAGCAAAGACATACAAACACAAACCCAAACCCAAACCCAAAAAACAAATATTTTCCTTTTGCTCTTTACCTATATATTGATATATAGTGAGATATCACTCTTCACTCCTCTTCCTTCTTAATAGCGGACACGACATCTTGAAGAAGCCCATGGTCAACGGTCGGCAAAGCAGAAGGCATTGGCTTAGAGCAAACAGGCAAATTGTAGCCGAACGAGTTGAAGATAGCCGATGAGTAGTTGTTGATTAGATATTGCTGATTGTGAGCTAAAGCGGGCAAATGGGCCGTGTCATCAGGTGAGAGGCCGGAATACGGCTGTGGTGGGCCCATGGATGGGATGGGCCGGGGCACATGTGGGCTCGGGTGGGTGTGTTGGCCTTCGTACGTAGTCACGACAATGCTTGGATTGTTTGAATTTCTCTCCACCCTTTTCTTCACATTACAGGATGAATCTGTACATCTATAATAGCTCCTGCAAATTAATTACAAAAAAATACACTTCAAATGTTGCCAATTTTTCACCTTTTTTTTTTTAAAAGAAGAAATAAAATTAAACTTACCTCGGAAAAGGACTGTTTTTGACAGCCTTTTGGCCGTATTTTCTCCACCTATAGCCATCTTCCAAATGATCAACCTCGCTCTTTGTCATGAAAGCAAATCTTGGCTCTCTCTGCCTCTTATGACTCGTTTTCTTCGCTTTCAACCTACAATTAAAACAAAAACAAAGCAATAATGCTAATATTAGACAGACCCAACGGTTAGATAATTGTATTTTTTTTCTTTTCAAACTAAACGTCAAATTTTATAAAAACAAGATAAAAGAAAATATGACATTTCATAACACAAGTATGCATTTTTGTTATATCTGCACAAATCACATGCTTTCATCCCCTGCAGCTAAACTAATAATAATAATAATCCATGAAAAATTAATACACTAACATCTTCTTAGTCTTTCGATTTTCCTCTTCTCCTTGGTCTTTTTCTTCTTCTTCTTCTTCTTCATCATCTTCATCTTCATCTTCTTTGGTCCGCTCGTGATCATTTCCTGAGTACTCGGAAGAAATAGAGGAAGTATTAGGTGTTGCCGGCGCATTAAACCCTTCCTCCACAAGCCCACGAACCTCCATCTTCGGATCCTCTGGCAGGCGAATCAACGGCTCATCTCCAAAGACATCAAAAACAGATGGCCCCACATCGTAGCCCCCGAGCAGCTCCACAAACCCTAGCGAGCTGCCTTTGTCGTCCAATAGCTCCGACAGCCCGCAATTGCCGCCGGTCGAGTAATAATGATCCGAAAACGACTGAAATGGAACTTCCATGTTTTGTAAGAAGTAATTAATAGTAACTGGAAAATTCTAGAGAGAGAAAGTTGGAGCTGAAGAGAGAGATAGAGAGGGAAAGAGAAGAGGTTTTTTCTTCTGTGCTTGTTTTAACGGGTGATATTTATGATGTGGAGAGGGGCTTGAGGAGGAAGTTTTGACCGGGAATAGCCGGTGCAGTGGTGGCATTAAATAGGGTGGGTAAAAGTGGAGATGTTCAAAGGTTAGTTTTGACTGGTAAACCGGTTAAAGTGTGAACGCAATCGACACTGACACACGAGCTGATTACGGCAACAAAAGCTCTTATCTTTATCCGCTGTTTAAATTCTTTTACTCGTCTGCATGTGCAATGTATCCTCCCAACTCGATCCCAATATTATGTGCTACAAAATTATGCATTTAAAATGTTACGAAATATTGAATCGTTTGTACATGTAATAAAAATAATTTATTCGTATCAAATTCTGTATTAAGATTTAACAAGAGAATTGATTCATAAATTCGAAAACCATATATATCGAATTTCAAGAAAAAATAAATAATATTTGATATTCATTGTCAAATAAGAATATTGTGAAACTAGAGATATGGTTATGAAATATCGTCTACTTATGGATACTAATATTAAATTACCCAGAAAAATAACTATCATATGCACTTATTATTTGCATTGATTTATATTATATGTCTAGGTCGACTAATTAAAAGTGTTACTTTCTCATGGAAAATAAGTACTAACAAACAAATCTATTATTTTAGTATATACATTAAAATGAGNATCCACCATATCTAATTAATACTAAAATATTTCATTGCACTTTTTTAAGAGTTAATTAAGACAAAAACCGTGACATTTTATATTAACGGAGTAATAATTATACTATTTTATTATATCATATAATAATTATTATTAAAACTAATAACTAGAGTTTACACTAAATGATATATAAAAGTTACATAAACATAAAATATTATTGTAAACTTTTTGCTAAAGTTATTTATTCTAAAATTAATATTATATTTTTTTTATCTTATTCAACGATTGTATTTTTAAATAAGTTAATTTATTTTAATGTTATAGTAAAATTCCTTAAAATCACATAATCAAATGTTATAATAAATTTAATATTTTTAAGTTAATAGATTGGCGATCTCTCAAAATTACATTATTTATTATATTTTATGTAATTAATATAGTAGTTCATATGCAATCAAATAGTTATGTACTATTTATTTTAACCAATGATCAAATTTTAAATCATAATACTTAGGCTTGTCCACAAATATAAATATTTTGGGTTATTCCCTAGATCTATAGTTTATCCACGATTGGAAAAGGATCGAGTCGATCTCTAGAAGTACGTCTTCTTTGCGTTTTCTGTTCTGCTTTAAACGATGTCGGTGCGCGATATTTAATTTATATTTTTATTATTATATGCATAAATATAACTTATAATACATTATGTTTAAACTATAATATCATTGTATAACTTATAATTTTAATACTATATGCATAAATGTAACTTATAATATTCTATTTACACTGTGTAAATGCACCGGGTCGAATACTGTATCAGAGTAGAATGGTGGTTGGTTTAAGTTTTTATTGTATGTGAAATGAGCAAGATAAATAACTAGCTAGCATACGAGTATGAACACATATCGATTCATATTGCATCGTTGGGTCAAAAGCGTGTAACACGTCTTTCAAAGTGGTAACCTTTGTATTTTGCTCGTCGGCACGCTTTTTAACCAAACGAGTTTCCCCAGTATATCTTCGTTTGTTCTTTTTTTTTTCATTCTTAGGAAAATTTTCTCCTATTCTAGTTCCTTCCTTATTTATATTTTTGTTGCTATTCATGAAATTATTTTTATTTAAATTAATTTTATGTAGTTAATAACTGTAAATCCACGATTATATATTTTGTACTTGTTTGCATCATGCTAAGTTGCTAACTACAAATATAAACCTCTGGACTCTGGTTGCTTAAAATTGCGAAGTTGTTATTAATTAGCTACATAATTTATTTATATTTACAACTTTATTTAAGGGGCCAATAGAGCTATTAATTCTTACTTTCTTTTCAATGAAAAGGACGTGGATATAAAGCTCCACCTGAAGAGCATGAGATGAAACAGATCAATTAAATTGAATATAAAATAAATATGACATACAATATAAGTATCTACAATAGTGTGATTGATATTTGCTGGCTCTTATTTAAAATAATAAATAAATAGTTAAAATCGAGGGGCCCCTGCTTGCCTGCTAACTCTAAGCCAATTTATAACCAGTCTTTTTCGGATAACGCTAATTTTAAATTTAAAACTTGTGGGCTGTGAAAGGCAAATTTCTACAAATTTCGATTTTTGAATTTGAATCTTTTTGCCCCTAGCTTTGAGGTTGATCATATAACAACATTTTATATTAATGTTGGACTTAATTTGATATGCTATTATTAACTTATTATATTTATAGAGCATCTATGGCCAACGCATGATTATTTAGCATAAAATCTTGTTTCAATAAATTTTTTCATTGAAAATATGAGTTCGAAGCAAAATATGAGTCGATCTCAATCAATCATATATTTGTATTGACTCAAACTCAAATTCGAGCATTGGTTAAAAAATTAAATATAACTTGTCAAGATCATTGCAACTTCTAGTCTGATCAAAAGAATCATGAAAAAATGAAATTCCAAAAAACTACGATTAAAAGTGGTGAGAAAAATAGTCTACCATGTCAATTAACAATCTCTTGTAATCATCATGGTGGATCTCTAGCACAATATGTGAAATCATCACTTCGTTTAATCTTAAGCTAAAGATGCAATTATTATACTTTTTAAATGCTAATTAACAAAGGATTAGAAGGTGGATGTCCCTTCGAAATGACCAAAAGGAGCCTCCGTGGGAGGCATATCAACATGGATAAATCCGCAAAAGTGAAACACCAAATCCAAGATTAAGACTAATGGGGCTTCATTAATTAATTATTATTGTGATGATATTTTTAATCTTAAGGTAGTTAATTACCTTAACCATTGGTAAAACAGGACACTGATTAAGCAAGAATAAAAAATAAAAAATGAACTGTTTGTTAGATCTACACATACTTATACGAATGTGACTTAATTTCCCATATGTAGACATCTTGAACCGGTCCGCAGTCAACGGGCCTTGAACTGAACATGTGGTTTGGTCAAACTGATTTCGAATCACATATTTAATTATAATTTTTTAACCATTGGGTCAATTATGAACCAAAACTATAATCGACAATCAGTTTAGTTTTTTTAATTATTTTTTTTAATTTCACCGAGCCGGCTAGTACTTATGTTCGGATCGGTTCAGACCCTCCCCTCGACTTGGAACCGGCGGTTATGACTCATAAAAAAATGGCCACGTCTTACCCATATGAATTTGCCATAAAAAACGGGCCACGCCTACTCGCCTCCGGCCCCATGTCGACATTAGCCCGTAATCTAATGCGCGGTTGTTGGGCCTGGGCGATTCTTGTCTGCCGCACGTGGACTAAAATAGTCGGCCCAATCGGAGCTTCGGTGTTGGGAATCTGACGGCGGAGATCTGTCTGAATGAGATACCGGCACGTGCCGAACGTTTACGCGTTTTGGGGTTGTTTTCGGTGGGCTTTTAGCTTGTATTTTACGTTACTTGTTGAATCTTCCATTATTTGTTCTCTAATTAATTATTCAAATTTTAAATAAAAACTTTTTATCCTCCAATTATTGCTGCTAGTTATCGTGTATGTTTGGTACTTGTTGGATGACAAGTTAGCTTAGCTCGTAAATTAGCTGACAGTGTACATATAAATTTCGAATTCATAATAACTGTTTATTGCTGAAAATGTAGTTTATGTAACAAAAATCGTTTCCTAAAATTAAATGATAAGTTTCATTAAGGTTTAAACATGGTTTGGCTACTAATATAATAAACGAATTGAGTTCGAGCATGTTTATAGCTCGAGCGCGATTCATTATGGCTTGTTAAAGCTTGAAACAATAAAATGTTCATTTAATATTTAATAGGACACCCGTTATATATAAAGTTCAATTTGTTAAGATTCGAACGCGACTCGTCACCATGACTTTATATGCTTAACTCTGTTTAAATCTTATTTAATTATCTGGAGCTCAATTTGTACATTTTCAGTTGGAAGACTGTAAGGCATACTCATCACGTAAGTGCCTTACCAATAATAGAAGTTGGAGATTGTAAATCAAACTAGTAAATGATTAAATACGAAACATGCTATCCAAAGCTTTGAATATGATTCTATATAGCCGTTGCAAATAGGTTGCGTTGCGAAGCTTCATATCATAATTTTAAATATAATATTTATGGAAAATGATACGTTGTCAATCTAGTGTGTAACTGCCAACTAGGTTGACAACACAAGTAAAAATATTTAAAAAAATAAAAATAAAAAAATACACAAGTGGATGTTTCTACTTGTGTTATCAATTTATTTGTACATTAAATTAACAATGTACTCCCTCCTTTTTAAATTAGATGTCGTTTTGACTTTTTTGATTCATCCATCTTGTTACGTATCTAGACATAAAAATATGTCTAGATACGTAACAAAATGAATGAATCAAAAAAATCAAAACGACATCTAATTTAAAAAGAAGGGAGTAGCATTTTTCAATATTTATTGGTCTTTTTCTGTGATGAGTCATCACCGTGGAGTATTAGGGTCAACGAGACTCATTTAATTTCCCAAAGTTTGACCGCTGTACACATAGGTTTTTAAGCACCCTCATTTAATTAAATAAACCTTAATTATATTAAACACAAAGTGCCGTTAATAAATGTACACGGCGCACGTCGTGTCTCCTCGTACGGTAAATACGTTAGTTAATTTACTGTCACTAAAGATAGATAAATCTTCAAGTGCATTTTCAAAAACCAGTGCGTGATTGGATTTGTTTATTTAATTTTTTGTCTGTGATTAGATATTAAATTAGATTTCACATGTTATAAGAGTATCAAGACAAAATGGTATCATTATTTAAAAATATTGATACAAAAATGTGTGCTAAAAATAAAATTTATATATAGGAATATATATAGTAATATAAAGAGGTTGTTAGAAAATATTTTTATAGTAATTTGACTAAAACATAAATGTTTGACTTACTATTAATGAAAATTTTGAAAAAACACATGTAAATCTTTGTGAATCAAATTTAATGAGATATACCAAAAAAATTAGAGATTCTTATGGTAATAAATTTAAATATTTTTATACTAAAATTTAATTCGTTTTAAATATTAACCCTAAATGAATCTATAAAATGAGTTTGTTGCTTCAGTCATACCACAAAATATTTGTAAATGTGTCGCACTATTCACAAAATATGAAAAATACACAATTCGATTTTACATCTCTTGATTAATATTCACAATTTAATCCCCAATTAATTGTAATTATTTCTAAGAATAGTGAATTTTATAATGACCAATGAGCACGTGGATGATCTTTTACTCATTTTATTCAAGACGATTATCTTTGAATGGAATATAAACAACATTGCACTATAATTAATTAGGATAGGCATACCTCTGATTAAGGCGGATTATAAGCCTGCGAATCTTCATTACAGATTTTTGCCTTATTTACTAATCCAAGCCAACATCACTAACCGACATGCTAATTAAATGGATTTTTGCATTAATAATCAATGTTTGTCACACACACATATATATATATATATAATTATTAGCTGATACATTTAATAAAACATTTAATAAAATCTATTTTCATTTTCCTCCAAAAGAGTTACATTTTTTTAATTAATTACTTACTAATCTACTAAAACCGTTACACCGTAATATATATATTTTTATTATTTATTTTTTAGATCAGTTACTAAATTAATTCTAAATTTGTTAGCAAAATATTCAAATGTGTAACGACTTTGAAACTTAAATTTGATTGGCACATTTAGGGCTGTAACCGCTATATTTGGTTGCATTGTTGGAAGAAAAATATGATTGTCACATTTTTTTTTTCTAAAAATCAGAAACACCAATAATTTTTTTTGTCTATGTTAATTTTTTTAATCTATTCCAAAAATATATAAATTATTTTATTCATTATATTAATGTAAACGTTGCATGGTTAAAATAAAATTTAAATCTCAATTAATTTTGAATGATAAAAATAACTTAAAAAAAAGTAATAATTTTTATTTGATAAAAGTACATGTCTAATTAATAAACACAAATAAAAACGTGTTTTATATTTATGCAAATGCACAGGATCAAATACTAGTATGTATATAATTGTAGGCTAATAACTCAACATTGCAAAAGTTACATTGTAATAAGTATATTGATTCATATGTAAATTATATAGTTTATATTTATAAATGTGAAATGTTCACTATCTTTTTATGATTTTAAATATTATATACACATATGTAAATAAAATTCTATTTGTAGTTGTGCATCTATACAAAATCAAATACTTGTATATTTGAACTTAATGAGTAAATCAATTTAGTAGTGTAGCATGATTGTTTGACTACTTCCAATTAAAATTGTAGTGTTGAAACATGCATTATATAAAAGACAATAAATAACATTACTTTTAATTATTTATGTTCATTAATGCTATTTTTTCTTAATGTTAAATGTAAATATACGAAAACTTTTCATAAACAATCATGCTCTATATGTCTCAGATAATATTCATTGTCAAATATTTGCTGGTGGCCCAAAGTGTGATAAATACCAGCTATGCGTCTTGTTGAACAAATATTCGGCCCATTTTGAGTAGGGCCTGGCAAGCTTTGTCCGTTTGATACCCAATAGGCTAATACCTAACCTCCATTTCATTTTATCTTTATTTTTATTTTAATAGATAACTAGTACAATACTCGTGCATTATACGATACTTGTTAAGACATCTATACCTAATTTTAAATAATAAAAAAAATGAATTTTAAATACTTTTTTAAAAAATATATAATTATTTCTATTTAAAATGACAGGCTTTGGATATACGACGTACTCATCTTATATTATAATATTTTTTCAACTTATATTATATAACTACTCTATAGCTAAATTTATTTAACTGACAAATTCTTTTATTTTTTTCAATTATAGTTAATAGATACCTTATTTTGGCTTGTAAAGATAAATATAATTAATTATTTATTACATATATATAATATGAATGTCAAATCAAAACTAATCAAGAAATGATTAATTTGATAAATTATATATGAAAACTGAAAATAAATACAAAAGTCAAATTTTAATATAATTTAACGTAGTCAAGTGTATTATAATTTTAAGAAAAACAAAAAAAAAAATGGGAGGAAAGAAAGATTGATGGAAAAAATTTATGTCTCATAAACAACATCTAGAATAGTAAATGAGATTAAAGTCAATTAATGCTCATAAAAAGAGTTATAAATTAATGTTCAGTATATTTATGGATAATTCCAGGTCTAATTATTTTTATATTGGAAACAATTGAAATATATCCAAGTCAAATGACGAAGCATGTAATTTTGTCACATAGGATTCCGAAGCGTGCGAATCTTCCATATAAACTCAACACATTCGAAAATTATATATAAAGGAAACATGTCGCTCGAAGAAAGTATTTGAAACAGTAACATAAAACTAATGAATATTTAAATATAATCAATTTACATATTACATCACTTTTAAAATTAATAAATATTTTGTCTCAACCATTTTATCAAGTTATTATGTCTAACTTCAATATNNNNTTTTAAAGAAGATTTTAGCCTATGTCTCACTAGTTACATATGAAATTATATTTACAATCAGTAAGGTCAAGAGCTGTTAAATAAAATGAGTCGAACTCGATCTTGTTTAGATCTTGTTATGTTATCGAGTCAGATTCAATTTGACTCGATAAGGTTAAAAAAAGATAGAATTACTATATAAGATTCTTCAATCCAATTTGTTAATATTAATAAACGAGTCGAATTTGAACTCGATTACTAGCTTGTTCTGTTAGTAAGTTGGACTCGATTTATTAAGAGCTTCAACTCGGTTTGGTTCATTTAAAGTTTAAACGCGTAGTAGCATTAACTATTATTTGTAAAAATGGTAAGTTGGTAATCGATTGTTGTTGGTACTTGATAATATTATTAGTGGAGAATGCTACATCCCGTTACGGGATGATTCCGTTGTGTTTTTAGCCGTTGGATTAACTACCCATCACTAGATTACATGTATATCTATGGGTAATTAATCCAATGGTTAAAAACACAACGGAACCATCCCATAACGGGATGATAACATTCTTCATTATTACTATTATTATTACTAATTTAGTGTTGAATCCATTGAACAAGCATTCATAATTATCCAAAAACCTATGAAGAAACGATGCCAACAGCTCACAATGCAAACATCACGACAAGATTACAACATAAGAAGAACAAAAAAATTAATAATAATAAATCAACGAAAAAACAACCAACAATAAATAATAAATAATGGTATTAAATTAGCCATTATACAAATTAAACGACTCAATGATTGACATAAAAATAAAACCAAAATAATAATAATAATAATAATAATAACAACAACAACAATCACTCATCACCAGCACCTGTTATTACATTGACCATAATCTGCATGACCTTAACTCTCATCTCTAAAGCCATAATATAATCTGCCGTCTCTCTAAACAGCTCTTCAACTCCAATATCGCTTGACTCACAATTTGGCACCAATTTCTTCAGAATTCTCACCTTTCTCTCAACGGGATTTCGCAATCCTATCACACGACGATCCAAACGTGCCTTTCTCCTCATCGACACGCTTCTATACCTAACTCTCGAGCAATCTCTCATTGACCGAAATTCCAAACTTAAATTTCTCCAAAAATTGCTGCTAAAGTCGCTACTTTCCTTAGCAGCGGCGACTAGTGCCAGGCGAGAATTTCCGGTGGCCATATTATTATTGTAGAAAGCTATATATATGCTTTCAAGAAATAAATTAAATGAACTTAATATATAATGTATGAAAGTGAAATTTGCAATGTAGTTTTGTTCATGAAGGAGTCACATATGGGAGTCTTTTTATAGTTGACAATGAGGACAACATCATAATATAGAATTGATGGAGTTTGAGGCAGCCAAGTTTTTGTGGGGACGTCACTTTTTCAATTCCACCTATTATTAAGATTTTTTTTTCTTGCTTTTTTGGTTAACAATAGTTAGACCAATAGAAATATCCCACGTTACAATTGTTTAAATTAAATGTACAAATAAAGAATTTTATCATCACTTCCAAAATTGTATATGTATGGAAATTTCCTCACAAGATTGGCTGGCCTAGCTAGCTAATGTAAACTCTAAGCCATACAAATGCCTATTAATCTATGCAATTTCTTACAACTGTCCTGTTTTAGAACAAACGGCTCCACGTTCTTCATTTACAAGAAAATATGTATTTGTTACATATTCAATCGATAAAATCCGATCAATGAATTTATCTACTTCATAAATCGACGGACTTATATCTCTAATGTCATCACAATCATCACAAATTCTGCTGGAAGATAATCTAACATTCACATATTAACTACGTTGCATCTTCCTTATACCTAATGTTACTAACAATTATCACAAATCCTGAGACAACCTAACAATTGCGTTGTGACTAGCTAAAAAACGTATGCCTATGTCACGACCGTAAAATGACGAACTTATCCCTAATGTCGCCACAATCTATCATCACAAATTTTGTAATAAGGCAACCTAACAATCGACTAAATTAGTAACATCTGACTTGCTCCAGATGTCACCACAAGCATCACAAACGTTGCATAAGATAGTCTAACGATCGCAAATTGATTGAAAGAGTATGTTAATTTGCCTCAAAATCATTACAATATAGAAGTGTGTATTAATTTACATTTATATTTCATTCTATTTTCAACCCTAGTTTATTTTTTCATCTTTTTGTCCCCTTAAATATCAAATTGGGTTTGTGGGTCCAAAGCCAAATAATTAGACAAGATGTTCCAATGCAGTGTGGGATCTTTGAATTTGTGGCTATGGGTTTGGGCACGTTCACTTGAAGCCCAATGCACATGCACCCACATGATTAACTCTCTTCACCGCCTGCAATTTTGCCTATGACAATACCTACACCACGACGCCGTATAGCTTTCATCACACACCCTCCATAATAGAACACCCTGGATTATTCCTTTTCCAGCTTTTTTCCAAATTCATTATATTGTACACACACAAATACACAAATCTCTGTGTATATATGTACACAAATTACACAATTCAACACATGTTTATACATTTTCAATGTGTGTATAAAGACATAAGTATATGATAAATTTTGGTGTTTAATGAAGTAGATTCTTGATAGAGAGAGTGTTAACTGACATCTATAAGATTTTATGTCAATGTTTGTCTCAACAAAGAGGGACGTGACATAGATTCTTGTGTTTGGGATAAGGGTGAGTAATTAATATGATATATATAATTATTATGTTAAGAAATCATTTGTATTTCAATTATGTGCACCAATATGAAAACATGAATCTTGTCACAAGCGGTCAATTATGTATAGCTTTAGATGTAAGAATATTAAAAGAATAATTTATAAAGCTTATTTTTTTTTTCAACATTTATAAAGCTTATTTAGTTGTATGAAAAACACTATACTTATTAAAACTGCAGAATTGATCAAATATTTATTATTGTTAATAATAAATGAATGATTTTTCATAATTTTCTAGAATTTGAGATATCGACAGGTCAATTGGTAAAAACAAATTTGGCGTGACGGATAATATGAACTGAGGAACAATATAATATATTTTTCACGAAAATAATGTGAGAACAATTATGTATTCTTATATTTCAACGAGGTTTCGATTGAGCCCTGCAAAATTAATATATGATATTGAATTGGATTAGATTTCACAAACTCAACTTATAATTTATTGTCATATGCTTATGCATTGATCATAATTTTTAATTATATTGTCTAGCATTTAGATAAAGACTTTTCAGATCATGAATTATCCAAACTGATTTGCCCCTAAAGTTTGGTAATCTTTCTCAATTCTCATCCACTGTTACGTCTGTTTTCATCTATCATGCTTCAAATATAATCTGAGTACTATTTAGGCTGTCTACTCGCATCTTCTAGGGTTGGTTTTCAGTTAAGAGCCTTTAATTATTTCATACAAATACAATCCTTGTTTTCATCCCATTTAATATAGAAAAGGGCAAACATCCCTCTAAATGTTCTAAGCATACAGAACTTTATATGAATTGAAGATACCAACAGNAGAATCAAACTTATGTAACTTCATAAACACAATGGTTTGTTTGGGTTACAATATATGATATTTAGGAAGATTAAGAAATGCTCAAAAGAAAGAAAGACTGAATGTCACTTACGCCTTAGCCCGCTTATTCATCACACTTTAAAAAACACAACTTACGTTAGAAATGCCGCCAAACTCCTCACACCAAGCAACCTTCACCACGAGCCTCCCATCCTCCTCCAACCAATTGTACGCCGCCACCTGTCCATTCACGTACGCCTTCTTAGGCTCCACGCTCGAGTACGCCAAGAACTTCCCGCCTCCTTTGACCACAATCTTGACCACCGACTTGTCGTCGCACACAAGACCCTCAACAGTTCCTCCGCAATTGAACAAGTCGGTTATCCCAATCGGCGCAAACTTCACACCAACAAAACCGACCTTCATAACCGGCACAAAGCTAAAGATCTCAAAATCCGAGGGCATAATGGTAATTGACACGGGATCCGAGACCCTCGTCGCCAAAAATAGCTTCTCTGCCTCCGTTAGATAAACTGCGTATTCTTCGGCCTGTCCCATTTTGTTAGTTTCTCCCTTTTGTTCCCACTCAACATTGCTGACGTGGACCGACACGGAAAGTGGCTTGTAGCATTGAGAATAGCTCTTAATCCTTCGCTCCTTCGGGTCCCACCCGGCGCCTTGGCAGTTGAATGCCCCAACCACACCTCCGTACTATTACATAATTAAATTAACTCCAACAATTTAGATTACACGATCAAATAATCACTGAAAACTAACTTCAATAACAAACTGCCACGCCACTTTGGTTAATTTGACTACATCATATCTAACCGTTTATATGAAAACTAAGAGATCTAATGGCTTATATTGAATTTTATATTGAATTGAAGAATCATTCCCCACCTTTCCCTAATCAATGTACTTGATCAAAATATAGTTAGTTGATTTAAATCAAATCACCTTGTTCAAATTCCATATCTTGAGAACTGTGGTGCTGTCAAAGAGAGGGTTCTTGAAGAGGCAGTCACGGGTCGGGAGAGCAAAGTGCACGCATTTCGGGATTGTGCCGTCTTGAAAAACGAGCTTCCTGAGAAGGTCGAAATCGTGTCCACCCAAAGAGTCGCTCACGTAAACGGGCCCGCCACAGATGGCCCTTGAGCCCGCGTGAAACTTGGCGCATTTATGGTCCGACTGGAACATGTCCCAATCGGGCTGGATAAATTGGGCCATCCACAGGCTGTTGTAGGCACAGTGGATCATGTGAACCCCTTGCAGCCAGTAGACGCCCATTGGGTCACCATTTGGGTCTTGGAACCAAAAATCATCACCTGTTTATTCAAAACAAAGCAAGTCGTGTAAATAAAAACTATATGGACATTAATACGATGAGGGCAAAGCTTTTTATATATTTTTCTGTTTTTGTTCTAACCAACTCTTCCCATAGATATCTGCTCGGTTCCGAGGAAAAAGAAGTCGTTGCAGTGTTGCATGCTGGAAATAAGCCCGGTTCCGTTGAAATTCTTGGAAATAGATTTCGACAGCCCCTTGTAATAAGCCCTGGCGAGCTCGACCCTTCCTCCATAATCTTCGGACACGTATTCTAGTACCTTCATCGTGTAACATGCACAAGTGTTTGTACAAGTACAAAGAGTAGTCGACAAGTTTGTTACAAATTTACGAAATCCGAGAAAAAACGATTTACATTGATAACATCGGCCTTCACCCCCGTGATCCCGACCTCAGAAAGGTACGAGTGCATGGAGTCGTAAAAATCCTCCGCTCGAGCGGGGTCCACGAGCCCAACCGAGCCACCGACAATCATAACAACCGCAAGGTCGTTCATGGTCCCTTTAAGCCCCGGGGACAATTTGCAGGGCTCGATTTTCGACTCGAGGCGAATCGCACCCGGGCGGACCCCACCCCAAGCTCCCGCAAGCGCGTGCCAAACGTAAATATCGTCCAAACCTTCGAAATTCTCCCTTAGATCCCTTGTTAACGCCTTCATTCCCGAATCCTCCGCCTTCTCCTCCGCCATCCCTTCCAATTCGCTTTTCAATATCTCGACCTCCGCATCGTGCCTCGACAAATCGTTAGCTCCGACCCGACCCGCCTCGTAGCGCGTTTTCTCGGCCTCGATCGCCTTCGAGATAAGCATCTTCAGCTTCTTGGGGTCGAACGCGGGTCGGCCGGCAAGCTCCACCAACGACCCGAGTTTGTACTTCTGAAACTTTCTGCACTCGTCCAGCCTGTCGAGTCTGGCGATCACCTGTAGGGCGGTTAACGAACCGAACGTTAGCCAATAAATATTCGTTCGTGTTCGACAAGAGCTCATTCGTTTGTTAATTGAGCCGAGTTCGAATACAAAATTAGGCTCGTTTAATAATCGAACGAATACGAGCTCGTTCGCGAATGTTCGATAATGTTCGCGAACATTAATTTAATATAGTTCTACTTTTTTATATTTACATGATATTTTTATTAAAAAATCTCAAATATATAATATTTTTTTTATTTTTTATTTTCAACTTCGAACGAATAGTTTTCGAGTTAATCAATATTTAAATTTTCAAAAATATTCGAATACGAACAAACTCGAATTTTGACGCTGAACACGATTTTTTGCTCGAAAAATAAACGAACAAACACGAACAGTCTTCGAACGTAAACGAACATGAGCTCAAAATGCCCAAGCTCTGCTCGTTCAGTTCGGTTACAGCAGTACTCACCTGAGCCCCACCGAGGACGAGATTCTCGGCTTCGTCATCCTTGTGGTCGAAGCTAATGCTCTGCCACCCGTCGTCGATTATCAAAAACCTCGGCGTGAACCCCCCGTCGGCAAATTCCTTGACCCCGCGCCACACGCCAGCTGGCTCGACAGTCAGATAAAACGCGTCCCACGTGCACCACCCGAACCTGTCCGCCACACATGGCGGCGTTTTTTCCTCCATGAGTCGGAAAGTGTCGAGGTGGACTCGAAGTGCGGTGTAAGCCTCTTTCATTAAATTGTAAGGATTATCCGACACGTGCACGTACACAATTGAATCGAAAGACGATGCTTTGACTCGGGTTGACCCGCTCTCGGCGCATATTAGCATGTGGCCGTCGGGTCCAGGGTGGAGGGCCGACCGGAAGCTCTTCTCGATTATCGGGATTAGGATGAAGTACGACTTTATCTCAGGCACGTCCAGCATGACCCACTGGGTCTCCATCTGGATGTCCGACCCGGATATTCCGACCCATTGGGTCGACCACCATGTTTTGAACCGGAAGATGCTGAGGAAGTCCCGGCCGGAGAATTTTCCGAGGGAGTTCGTGAGGCGGTCGGAGGGATTTGTCCGTGAGAAGCCGAGGAAGCCGGACTTGGAGGAGTGGGAGTGGGCCCGACGGAAAAGCGGGCCAGGGGCCCGGGAGGATTTGCATACGGTGGAGAAGGGTTTAAAGGTGACATTTTCCGGGATATCGGTGAGTAGAGTGAATTTAGAGACGGTTAGTTTTCCGTTTTTGAGTTCGAAAAGGTTGTCGGATTTCGTGGTTATTGAGTCTGCCATTGATCAAGAAAAAAAAAAGGTGAAAGCAGGGGATTAGGTGGAAGGAAGACAAAAAAGCAGGGGAAAACAGGAGAGAAACTGGAAAATTGGATTTTTTTTTCTTTTAGTTTTTTATGTTGAGGTGCTATTGGAATTAAAAAATTATTAAAATGGGGAATAGAAATTGGAGGGATGACTTGGAATAAAAAAAAATTGAGTTCAGAAGAATCTTGAGCAGAGTTGAGATGTTTTTCATTGTGTAGAGTGCTGTGTACAAGGTTGTGAAGTGAAGGCAGGTACAGAGTTGGAGCCAATTAAAATTATAAATAATTAAGGGGAAAGAAATGGAGGGGGGTGCTGTCAAAATACGAAATATTATATCATTATTTGTTTGATCTCTCCCTTTTATGCTAGCGGTGAGTCTATCTTGTTTCTGTATGTCATCTCAAATTGGTTCCGGAAAGCTCACTCAACATTAGAAAAAACAAGTGGGGTATGGATTTGTGGAAAATGACTTGGTAGAAAAGTATTGGCAAGCGAAAGATTTTATGACCATGCCACATATTTAATTTTTTATTTATTTTTTGTTTGTTTTTTATTTGGTTCCGCGGTTTAAGTGGTTTTATTTTTTTTTTAAAACGATATATACTTTATTCATCAACCAAAATATTAAGTACACCGGGAGGTTAAAGAACCCCAATACAACAGAGAACCACTCCAGTGAAATGGTCTAGAACTAGACAGCTAACATCTACTACTACAGCTAACCAAATACATCTAAGGCAAGAACAACTCTTGGTATCCTTAGACATAGAATCTCCCCAAACAATGATTGAAAAATTATGCAAGGAATTTAAGCTTGCTAGTTGTGAAGCCACTGAACTCCTAAGAGACCTGGGTCACCTCTAGCCATCAAACTCTTTCCTTCTTAGCAGCTGCATTGAATTCTAACCATTTTGGCCGGGAAGCATTTACCACCTCCTTCTCTGGCATTAGAGAGTTTTTAAATTTCCAGATGTTCCGTGATTTCCAGAGCCACCATAAGATATAGGTAGTCAACTGGATTCTATCCTCAGAAACATCTTTCCTGCTCACCTCACAAATGTTACTCCACCAGCCTTTGAAATTACTCTCTTCTGCTTTTAATCCATCCCAATTTATTGGAGCTAGTTCCCAAATCATTTTAGCCCTGCTGCAAGAGAAAAACATATGTTCTATGGATTCAGGAAACTCTCCACAAGAATGGCAGATGATGTCCACATCTAAACCCCTGCTTTTGAGATTAGTACTGACTAGTAGCACATTGTTAAAGCATTTCCAAATGAAGTGTCTTAGCTTTTTTTTTTTTTATGTTGAGACTCCAACTCTTTCTTCTTGCTTTTTTGTACAACTCTGCAGTGTTACTAGCTTCTGCTATGTCAAGTACACAAAACTTTTTATGAACCAGGAGGAATAAATTGTAGTTTGAGTGGTGTTGTAAGAATTTGTAGCAACCAATGTTTAAGATAAATAAGATATTTCTTATTAATTGAACTAGTACGAAATTTCGTGCCATGCACCGGTAAGAGATATTAATTAATATTTATAAATTAAAATATTAATTAAATAATATTTATAAATTAAAAATATGGAATCAATATGTAATACAAATTATCTATAATATTTATTAAAAATGTTATATAAAATTTAAATTGTGCACAATTTCATAAAACATGTCAATTTAAAATCAGTAAACAACTCGTACGGTGCACGTAAACTATAATAAGTTATATTATATTCATTTCAAAATAAGTGTCATTATAAAATTTTTATTCAAAAATTCAATTTGACTATAATGTGATTTCATAAAATAATTATTTGGATAAAATTATATATTTGAATCGAGGTTGATAGAATGAGAAAAAACAAAACAGTAAGAGTATTTAATGTTGGCGGTAAATTATTATAGTTGTCCAACCATTAATTTAATGTTTTACTTACTTTTTTTAACTTCTTAAACAATGGTGGAAAACAATAAATTTAATCAATTTTATGGAATATATAAATTAAAGTCTTGCAACTTAGTTTTGATAATATATCTTCTGACTTGATATATAAATATTTTTTTTGACTCAATTGCTTATATGTATCTACTTACAAATGAATTCACTCAAAGTTTTACAGCATGCGGAGACCAATCCAATTCCAAATTAGAAAATCACATCACCTTAATTTTATAACAAATCAACTAATTTGACTTTCATACCCATATCAAATAAAATTAATACCAATTATTATTTTTTTTTCAAAATTTTCAAATACATTTCTATCCATACCAAGTAAATTCATAACATTTAAATTCAAACATTTCATACTAAAATAAAATCGTCCACTTTATACCATGAATTCATACATTTAATAATA